AATGAAGCCCGGGAAATTCAAATCCCGGGCTTCATTTGCAAGTGCGGTATGCCTACATTACCCTCCTAGTTCGAACTAGCGGGGTAGTGTAGACATACCCCCAGTGACTTCCCTCACTCTTCACGACCCAGTGGAGTTGATAGGGGCATAATCAGTGGTTGATTTAGTGGGTCCTTACTAGACATGCTCAATTGAACTTTGGGAGCTCAACCTCTGCAGCATTGATCTCCCAATAAGTGGAGACAAGCCCTTTGAGTGTGAAGGAATCTAATTTGAAGCAGTGCTTGTGGGTGACTCTTCCAAAATCTCCACTCCTGTATACTCTGCACCTAGGCAAGTGATGGAAAAGATCATCTCCTGTGGTAGTTAATACAACAGAGATGATGTGGCCTCTCCCTGTTTCTCATCACAGCTGGCCCACAACATTTTGGCACCTGAGGCGGGGAGCTCAAATGATGCCCCCATATGCACATATGCACCAGCAGCAGACACAATTTTCTACACTCTGGGTCCTAGTGGTGCCCCCCCGCCCCCTCACAGTCTGGCACCTAAGGTGGCCACCTCAGTTCACCTCATGGTAAAGCCAGCCCTGTTCTTCATCATTGTTTTATAAGGCTGAGCATGTAGGGATTTGCAGGGCAAAAGGCACTGGAATAGAGGTTTCAGGTCAATGGTCTGCTTCGCCTCTTCATGAGATTATTTATTCACAATATTCTTGGAACCAATTCAATCTTTGTTTCTTCCTGCACATATATAGTTCATCAAGTTTCCCCAGAGTACATAACCTCTGGAGGAAGGTGGAGTTAGCTGGGTTAGCTTTAATATATTACGGACGATATCATTTCCAAAAGACTTAAGTTGGATTGTGTGTGGAAAGATTGAATTTTCCTCCTTGCTTCCTCTACAAGCCCAACATTTGATCAGGACAGTCAAAGCAGCAGACTTTGCGCAGATGGAGTTCATTGCTGGAGCCATTGGAGGTAAATAAACACATAAAATAGAATATGACGAAAGCTGTGTTTCCTTTTAATTCACAGGCAGAGTCTAATGCCGCAATGATAATGCTACAATTAAGGGGTTGTCCATGATTTATTGAGAAACCACTATTTAAAAAAGTATTCTGCTAATTTAATTTAAGGATCAGCAAACTTAGAAAATGTTAAATGAATATAATTAATCAGCTGATTAGCTGAGGTGATTGCTAGGCAATGCTCAGCCTAAGTCCAAAAATACTGAACAAAACAACACGAAAACCCACATGACAGGATACAACAAGATGGGACAAACTGAATGAAGATATTGGCAGTCTCAGCTTGTATAGTGCAGCCTGTTATCTGATATCCTAGGGGATATGAAATATTGTTAGACAAGCAGTCATGGAACAACTGAGGTAATTTACAGTATAATTAATAGCGTGGAGAAATGACTATTTCAATTAGCACAGAGCTTTGGATAAGTGCCATTTAGAAAACCTTATTTCCAATTTTAGGGGTTGTTTCAATGCAGTTTTAGGTTATGGGGGGTGCTTGTATGTATAATTAAGTTAGCTTTGTTTTAAACAATGAAACTCAGTCAGCAAAGAGTATGGTCTAATTACCTGGGAAATTTTGAGAGAAGAAAGCACTACATGATTAAGATTGATCAGACGTGGAGAAATGCAATGTCATCTTTGCTAGAGAGCATCAGAGACATTTGACATATGGCTGAGACATATGTTACAAGCAATTCCAACCAGGCTTCCAGAACCTCTGAACTTTGGCAGCCCTTTGCTGGTCAATTCAGGAGAGGTTTATTGCCAATGCAGGGAGTTATATAGGAGAACATACTGAAGGTCTGCCTCTATGTGATAATTGGGAGTCACAGTGTAGGGATGTAATAGTACAGTTGATTAACCTATTAACTGATGAGCAAAAGCTCATAGGTTAATGCTATAGACTGCACACATTTCCCTCCCCTACCCAACCAGTACATTTTTTAGCAGGCTGGTCAGCAGCCTGGCTCAGTTCTGGCTTATGCCGGGTCCAGGACCTATCCCCGCTGTGGCTCTGCATTTAAAGAGTATTAGGAGCTGGGTGGGCAGGTAGCCCGGCTCAGTTCCAGTTCGTGCAGTGTCCAGGAGCACAGACACTGACCCCCCCTCCTCCCCTCCTTCAGACAGGGGCTGCTGCCACCTCGAACTGCAGCAGAAGGAGCAGCACAGGGGGTACATCTAGACTACATGGCTCCGTCGACGGAGCCATGTAGATTTGTTGTTTTGGCAAAGGCAAATGAAGCCGCGATTTAAATGATCGCGGCTTCATTTACATTTACATGGCTGCCGCGCTGAGCCAACAAACAGCTGATCGGCTGTTTGTCCGCTCAGTGAGCTAGTCTGGATGCTCCCCCTGTCGACATCAAAGCCCTTTGTTGGCAGCCCCGGTAAACCTCATTCCACG